CCCCCCCCCCGCCTTCTGGGGGGGGATTTCTGGGAAGTGGAGGTCCAAAAATTTTAAAGTTGTTGAGGCTGAGAAACCCTGCTCTATACAGTATAGTCAAGAAATTTCTAATCTAGAAGTATTGCTTAAAAACTATGAAAAAGCTGGATAATATCCATTTTATGATTAGTTCCTAAAGGTTATTGTTATATTATTGATATATTACACCAATGGTCCTAAGAGAAGGATTAATCTCACCCCCTCCCCAAATTTATCTTCACAACAACCCTATATTTTCTGTAACTGTAAATTTAATGTAATAACGATTCTGTATTGTAGATTAAGCTGAGAGAGAATGACTGTTTTAAGATTCTCCAGAGAACTTCATGGCTGTCAGAGATCTGAACCTATCTCCCTATTTGCAGAGAACCCTCTACCACTGGTTCCTTTAAATCCAGGCCTGGATTTCAAGCAGCTGAAAAAACTTGTGGAATAAGAATGAAAAAAAAAAAAAAAAAGGTCACCTTTAGGTCAAGATGACTCAAGCAGTCTATCAGACCACATAGACTATTTAAGTCATTTTTGAATACATGTTCTGAATTCATAACTTGTCTATTTGAACTATTTTCCCTTTGCAGATGGCCGTGCCAGTTTTCTAATTTCTCTCTCCCTGTTACTCAGATGGGCTTCTTGTATGATATTCATACTGTGACTTTTAAAGCAAGCTAGCATTCTTGTGCTTGCCGCCAGCACACATAATAGTCTAGATACTTCTTCATCACAACTATGATAAGAGCTACATAGATTTTGATAATGTTTTTCCACTTCGGTTACATGAAGCATTGACTGATTCTGAGCATCCATTGTATTACAGTGTTTTTTGAAATAACTTTCTGAAAAATATATTTCTTCTGCATCCACGCACATCCTAAAATATTCAAGTACACATATATTAGCAATTATCTGTGGATGCTGTCCTGTCATCTACATACAAAGGTACCAACACACAAACATATAACAGTGTGAAAGACAAGTATAAAAATATTTTATACTTATTCCAGTAAGTGATAATAAAGAGGGGGAGGTGTTTATTAAAAAAAAGAATGCAAGACAAGATATCTGAAGACTGTCAGATTCCCAAAGTCATTTCAAATCTCAGGACCAACAGCAATAGCTGTAGACAGATTTTCTATATTTCAGTTGTTATTTCCATTTTCTATATATTCATTTAATGCTACATAGATTTTTCTATATTCTACTTCATTAGTGTCCCACACATTAAATGTGACAGAATTCCACCTGCTTGTCTTATGGTTGTGGATAAGGAACCTATTTAATTTGTTTTGAGGTTTGTGCATGCAGTTTATTCTTGAAGAGCTTTTCATTTTTTCCTATTCATCTTCTGCATCTTTTCAATTAAGCCATGTTTGGGAGAGGATTCATTAAAACATGATCTTTTGCATATTAAACCTGATATTCCTGGACAGTTTTGACTTTATTGGGCCTCTCTCCTGGCTAACTTTTGTGAGCTCACCAAGTCCCCAATTTTAAGATCTCTCTAGTTCATGAACTCTAATTCTGTGTTCTAAGCCTTCTGCAAGCTGCTAGTGTTGTTAATCCCATTAACTTTGACCATGCATTGTTAATAAGCAGGTTTCAGCAAATTATCCAAATTCTCTCCCATTTGGTAAAGTCTTTAAAAAGTCTTATTATAAAGACAAATGTATACACATCCATATATAGCACTAGTTGTATAGCAAGAATGTATACATAAAGCAAAACAAAACAACCCATGCTAATCTGTAAGAATTTCCAAAGCTCATGGCCAGATAACGCCAATGACTTCTGAACACTCTGGAAATACAAAAAGGGAGCCTGGGTGAAAGCAAGATCAGCCACTCTTTGACTCGGACACAGTGAACCAGCCCAGCAAACATTCTTAATGGAGGAATTATAGCTCTCAAAATGCAAGGCATCAATACCTAAGCAAGAAGGCAACATTGCAAGAGGTTCTGAAGGGAACAATTAATTATTTAATAATTATTTATTTAACCTGACCCTGGACTCATCTAAATGTGCAATACAGTACCCTCTGAAGTTCTGCCAAAAAGTAGGAGATCACCACACAGAGAGAAGGGCAAGATAGCAAAGATTGTGGCTGTTTGAATCAAGGTCTTCTAAGCACTGCAAGGGAAAAGGACTGTATCTAATAGTTCCTTTCCCAATCATGGAGAAGAACAAAAGAATACAAATTAAAATAATGTTAGCTTCTGGCAACCAAACAATATCTTTTATTTAGATACAGAAACAGGACAGATAACCAATTAATCTCCCCGATAAAGATAATCTGGCTAATTCTTGATTTACTGTAGACAAAGTAACTTCAGAAGTACCTTGAGAAAAACTCTTATAGTTCAGCTCAGTGCTGACTGGAACAATAACATCATTCAAAGAAATATGATCTTTCCACCCTAGTAAAGCACGATTTGTGATGTGGAGTTGATATTTCTCTAATAATCTGATGCCACAAATCACACAGATGATAATTTGATTCTGATCCTACAGAGATATTATTCTCACAATGCAAACAGTATATTAATTATTTAAGTCCACAGGGCCTCTTCTGGTATTGTATTTACTTTACAAATAGTATTGTTTTTATATTTTGCCTGAAACATTTTGGTGAAAGGATGTTTCAGAAAAGTTACAAACACCAGCACAAGGTTGAAGCATTCAAGATAATTATTTCCAAGTAAAAGGATGAATTGCAGTTCAGTAAATCACCAGAGCCTAAAGCACGTTTTAAAGCACGTCTATCAGGAATCTAATAAAAAATACATTCCAGTTTTCATTTGTAATACAGATGCCAAGCAAATACATGATCTTTTGTAATCAATAATAATTATATTGACTTACTTCTTCATTTTCCCCATCCTATTTTTATAAAGCAATACTGATTCTGAAGGAAAGCAGAAAATTTCAGCTCATTATGTCTTTCAAATTGCTGAGCATCTTCAGGACTCATCTCTGGCTAGGAGCAAAAAGGAAAACAGGAGAAAGTTTCTTACTGTTTCGGGGCTTCTCCTCATCCATGCCTTCATCCTCGTTTTCTGGATCTATATCTTCTGCTTGAGTTATCCAGTCTAGATATCCCTTTAGGTCCTCCTCCAGTTGTTGTTTCTCTCTTAGCTTCTGAAAGTCACCTCGAGCTTTTGCTTTCTCTCTCTCTTTAGAAAACTCCCTGGTGAGAAGGAGGGGATTAAAATTAAAAGGACAGGAGAGAGAGAAAGAAAGAAAAGATAAGAGAAGAACTTGAATTGCACTTGAAGTATTAAGCTTCCTGGTATGATAACTCAGCTGCTCATGTTAATTTAAGCCCTGTGGTTCCTCAGATACATTGCTAGGTCTTTAAACTGCTAATGTGAGCCCCCTGTGCTGCATCTCAGATCACTTTTGAAACTTGAGATGTAGTGATTATTATTGTTGTTAAAATCTCCTACATCTGAAGCAAAACAGTACATTCAATACACTACCTAGGAACATAAGGGCAGATCTGTTCTTCAAGTCAAGGCAAGTACTCATACTGATTTGCTGTCCTCTGCCCCATGGCTGGGTTTTTGCTCCATTGTCAGGATTCTGATCATGAATATTTTAAGATAGAATATTACTAGATGCTTTATTTAATTCTTAGGATCTCCATGAATTAATTAGAGGACAAAGCTTTGCTATAAAGTAGGCAGAGCAATTACAAATGTGGGAAAAGCGTAAGAGCTCTTCTACTAAAAGCCACACTTTTATGCCAAGAAGCAGTAAACAAAAGGTGGACAATAAGAAAACCTAGTCAAGATTGGATGCCTCTTTCCAAGCACCACTCCATATAGGTGAACAGTATTAGAGATTATGTATTTTAATCAGTCAAGAAGATTGTTGTTGTGAGCCACCCAGAGTTGCTTAAGATGGGCAGCTATATAAATCTTTTAAATGAATGAATGAATGAATGAATGAAGATTAAATTTCATTTTTTATGTTCATGGAGTCAAATCTCTTGTAACATTGTCCTACATTATCCACTAGAGAATGCAACTTACACTGTATCGGCTCTGCAATTTTAAACATTATCTAACAATCTCTTTTAATAATTATAGACTACCCAACAGAGGAAGATTTATACTCAACATTAGAAAGAATATTGACATATAGCATTAGACGTTAGATTCCTTTATTACAGTATTATGTATACTACCTGGTAGTAATTCTCCTGGCCTTAAGCAATATATTTTCCCCATCTTGCAATCTTTTAAATTACAGATTCAAGGACTGAACCTGAGATGTTTTTTTAATACAAATAATTTGGTTCACTTGGAGCATCATACAAATTTACATCCAGCAAAGCAGACATTTGCCTCTACCACGTATGGGGCTGTATATGTTTTTCTGTGCATCAGAGCATTCTACATGGGAAGACCATTATGTTTATAGTAGTACTGTTAATATAGTAGCACTGTTAATCAAATGGATATCTTTCTGGGATATCTAATACAGTTGTAAAAATGTTCTAATGGTGGTAGAACAGTGGGCATCAATGGGTGATCAACAAGCATCTACACACAATTCCCTTTTATTTGGCATTTGGTGAAGCACTTACAATTTCCATTCCTTCCTACAACTTTGTGTATCGCATTAGGCCAAATTTTGTTTTACTTATATGGAACAGTTTAAAATAAAGCAACACAGCTTATTTGGTTAGTTCCTGGTTTGTTTTATCTGCATCTCTTCTGCCAACATCCAAATCTCTAGCAGCAGTATAGAACTATTTTGCCAATCTGTTTGCAGGAGTGTTTCCTAGGAACTGAGGGAGATCTTCTTGATGTTTGTGCATTGCTGCTTTATGCTTCATGTTGTGTCTGTTTTGTCTTCGTGCAAATGTCCCTTCTTATCATGGGGACTCTCAGCAGACATTCTGGGCAGGTATTCTACCTGGAACAAGCACTTCTGAAGATACAGTGAGCCCCAGTCAAGTTCCAGCTCCTTAAAGTGTGCTTGGAAACAATCAGCAACCAATACAGCTGCTATAGTAGTGGTGTTGCATGGGAGTAATGTATCTGTCCTGGAAGCATATGTGCAGTTACGCTGTATACCTGCTGAGGTTTCTAAAGGCAGTCCCCATATAAAGTTTATTACAATAATCCAATCAGGAGGTGATAAAGACATGAATGGAGATTATTTGGAGACCTGTATTTCTATCTTGCCCCCAGTGAAGTTTCAAGGAAGACTGAGGATGAGTGAAGAGTTTGGAGGGAAAGTCACTGGACCACAATTTAATCTGGGGATCAATCTATTATTATTTTCAACTATTAGTATCTTGCAATTTCAGGATTGGTAAAAGAGAACAGAACACAAAAACAAACCAGGAATAATGTAGGCTACCAGGTTCAGCTAGATTAATAAAGCAAGTTTCATAAACCAACTTTAAACCATGGTACCAAATTCATCTCTTGGCATCTATGTGTTCAGGTATTCCAACAAGCTATAGTTATACTAAACCCTAACTTAGCATTTGCATGGACCAAACTGATTTTACAATGATCATCAAGTATTTCTACTTGTTAGCTGTCATATTAAGAAAGTAAATTATAAATAGACTGATATATTCCAACTGGTAAAAGATAAACATGGAATACATGGAATTATAGTCTTAATTTGCAACATTGAGTCCAAATTCCTGCACAACGTAGGAATCTAAATTAAAGCAAAGATGATGGTCTTGCCTCAGCTTGAACATATCTGACAAAGAAGAACCAAACATCTTTCCAGTAACTAGTTCCACTGCCGTGAATGCTGTCACCTATTATCTCATAGCAGATTAGAGATTATAGAGAATAACTTGTCTTCCATGGTTAAATCAAGCTTCACCAGGAAAGTTCTGAACTGAGAAAGAATAGTGTTTCACTAGATTGCAACTTTCTGTATTTTTCCATTCCTCATTTGTTACTGATTGTTGTATGTATATATGTATGTATGTAACATTCCTAAATAGAGTTGTATCTCCTATATGGTCAAAGTTTTATTGAAAATCCCTATAACCACTCCATTAATTTGCACAAACAAGGCAATTTTAAAAAATCTTTGGACTCTAAATAACACAATATAATTTTATTTGAATGATCAGTATGTATGGACCACAAATGTTCAGATACATGGTATAAGACTGTCAGTCTCTTTAGGGTATCAGAGAAACCAACCACTGCCTTTCATTGTGAGTTCACATAAGCCACTCAGTGTTGAATAATACTTCTCAGTTTGTTAGCTGTTATCTTACTAATTATGATACCAGTTCTTTTCTTCTACAATAGCAGTTTATTTCAGGGTAAATTTCAATTTTTTGCAGTTCTAATACTGTTGATTTTTGAGAAGGACACTATCCTGCCCAATTTTCTGGTGCCATTATGCCACAAAATGAATTCAATTTGTGTGTCTATTACTATGACTTTATAGGGTTTGGTCAAAGCCCATTGACATTACCAAGTGAAATGTAGATGCTGAATCAACACTTATATCCACAATATCCCCCCAAAGAATAGAAATATCAGTTTAGAAGCCAGGAAAATAAATAGCAAAAACAATTGAAAACCTTTTTTCCTTGTATTGCTTACCCGCTAAGTACACCGAGAACCAAGTTAAGTACAAAAAATGAGCCTATGATGATTAGTGTAACAAAATAGATCCAGGGCCACTCCCTTCCTATGGCATCATTGACCTGGAAGAGTGGAATGATAATTAGTGAGAAAAGTTAATTCCTGTGCATTGCAAGTCTCCAGTTGAAGGGAACTTCAGCCACCAGCACTGAACTTGAATGTTTATTGAGTCAGTTAAGAACACAAGGAGAGATAGGAGTCATCTCTTTAGGAATCTTCAAATTTTCTATGCCCTCCAGTCTGGATGGAGGTATTACTATACAATCATGCTGTAACGTAATTGCCTTTAGGCTTATTATTGATACGCAAACTTCCATTAAACAAGATCTTTGCTTTTGTTTACTGTAAGCTAGCAATTTTGGTGACATGGAAGGAACCCTGATCCTGGAGTCTTGCCTTGCAGCATGAGGAGAAGAAAACACCAAAACCAACAGCTTACCCGCTCAACACACCAAGAACCAGATTAAGAACGAAAAAGGATCCAAAGATGACCAGACTGACAAAGTACACCCAGGGTAACTCATAGCCCATAGCGTCCTGCATCTGGAAAGATGGAGGATAGTCAGAAGACAGAGACAGAAAGCAGAAATGGTTAGGAAGAGAAGACAGAGTGTTTGCATATCAGGCCTATCTATTTGACTTGGAGAGTTGGAAATGTTTTAGTTGTTATTTAATTTTAGCTAATTTGAAGATCCAGTGGCTCAAAACATTATGGGAAATCAGAAAGTGTTCATGAGAGCTCAGATTACAGAAGGGGAAGTGTTCCTATGTGCATATCCTTTATTTATTTAAATAGGAAAAACAGGTGCCCCCTACCAATAAGAAATCATTTCTGGTAGTTTAAAAAATTAGACAGCAACTGATGAATTAATGCACCACAAACCAATATTCAGTAGGTTAATTTACCTTAATGCAATAAATTAGAAAATAATAATAATAATAAAGAAACAGGAGAAATCTTGATATTTGTTGTCTTAAATTTTTTTAATCTATTAAAATAAAAATCAGTTTCCTGTAATGCCAAATTGAATTGCAGTTCATTGGAGAGCTTTCTTTTACACAATGATTTTTACAGTAAATAATGTCCAAAATATGTATTAATATTATCCAAGAATTCCTATAACAGTTACTAGCTTACTACAGAATAAAGCACCGATCTTTTAATAATGCTTCACATCAGGTCCAGCATTATGAGGAAATTACAAATAGTAATGACTTCAGGCCACACATATCTAATAAAGTATATATTTCCCCAATTTCAACCCCCATCTTGGTTATTAAAAGAAAAGCATAATGTGACTTTTCTTCTTGGGGTACAAATGTTTAATCCTGGCTCTGTTTCATACAGTACAATGGACACTAAGATCAACGTGGCAACTGAATTGATTTGCCCCTTCAATTTCTGATAACTCCATGGATTTAAAGACAACAGTCTTAGGGATAGCAGCTAAAACTATTATGAACAATGAACCCTGATGCCCTGTGGAAATGTTTATACCATTGGGAGTTCCTTGTGTAACAGAAAGAAAAGGAATGAGAAAATCATAGTACTCTATGCTTGATAAGTAAATGCAGGGGTGTCTGCAGGATACGGTAAAGAAAGTCAAGATGGCGGCTGTGACAGTGTGATTGAAACTCCTCATTTTTTATGTCCGTCCACCAATCACAACCACCATCTTGACTGCAATCACACTGTCACATCCACCATCTTGACTTCTTTTAAATCATACTTTGTGGATACCTCTGAGTGAACAAATGGGATCCTGTAACTTTTGGAGGATCCAGTAGATAAAGACATCTACTGGATTAAACTAAGGATATTTGCATTCCTTTCCCCTTTTAAAATATTTATGTCCCATGAATCTCTAAGGGTCTATAACTAGGGTGTCCTGCACTTTTCTTTTTCTTTGGCTAATGTTGCATTAATCGTAGCCCTAAGATGCATTAACAAATCCTCATGCAATGTTACCCCCACTAGGTAGATCAGACCAGAAAATCAACTCAACAGGAAAACTACAATTTATTGAGATAGGCTACAAATAACAGAGTCTTGCAAGTCTTCTCTAGGGGAGCAGCACTATCAGAAAGAGGTTCTACCATGGTGGGCTAGCACACAGTTCCCAGGTGAGAAAATAAAGGTTGTTCTGGTTTAACAGAAAGGCCCCAAACAGGTCATTCCTGGGATGGAGCAGGATGTTAGCTTTACATCCAAAATAGCTTTGATACGTACCCATCACGTAATCCAACCTTGAATCTGGTGCAGTTAACCCCCTGCCCTTAATTTCTGCTGCTAGGGAAAAATTATAACTACAAATATGCACTTAGCAGAAAGGTACAGAGGAAACAGTGTCAGCATACCTTCTATTCTTGCTAACATAAGCTGGAAGTTTCAGAAACACCCACCATTCTGCTACTTCCAGGCCTCACTTGGGATTGCACTACTTGTGAACAAATGCTTTTTAATGCTATAGAAAACCACTAGAGTGTAATCAACCCAAAGTGGTATAGTAATGCCTTCAAGGGTCAGTGTATTTGGTGCTCCTCTAAACTACTTCCTTTTAACATTTTTGTTTTCTGTCTTCACATGTATTTAGTGCCTTCTGCTAATATACCCATAAATTCAGTATTTTAAAAAATGGCCAGGACACCAATATGAATGTTACATTAATTATTTTCCAACCAATAGAATCTTAAGGTGAGATATATATCTGCAGATTTTATTTATTGGCAATGAATCTCACTGGACTATGGTATCTTTAATGGGATTGGTTGAAGCAAATTTTAAGTTTGGTATGGATTTTATCACTTTCACTTGCACAGTTTGCATTCTTGCTTATACTACAATAAACTACTACTATTACTTGTGAGATTTTGATTTGGCTTTTGCACTTGAGATTCATATCATCTACTGTTGTTCCTTTTTAAAAGCCTAGGAAAAATCCACTTAAAGCATGTAAAAAAGAAGGAACATAGCAATATCAAAAGACACCAGTATGCAGCCTCTTAAGTGAATTTTGGAACAACCCAGGGGGGGAAAAAAGATATATGGATATTCTGGAACAGAAAATCTCACATTCTGGGTGTTTCAACCAGGATGTTTGCCTACATTTACAATTTAATGAGAAGATGGTTGTAGGAGAGAAAATGGCATCTCCTAATGACCTTAATGAATGGCCACGATTGTGCAAAAACAGAAACAAAAACCAAGTGATCTATTACAGGACTATGAAAAGCAACAAAATGTTTTCTTCCAGCAGTCTTTTTTGCTCAGCATGTTCTTAGAGTTATTAGGATATTAAAGATGGATCAGAGCTACTGCCATTATCCATAAGAACAGGTTGATATCAAACAGATTTCAAATGGTCTTCTGTGCTTCACATATATTCTTCTATACCTACTAAGAGAAGAGCCAGTTTCATGTATTAATCATCTAGCCTGGTTAAGGCACTGGGCTAGAAACCAGGAGACTGTGAGTACTAGTCCTGCCTTAGGCATGAAGCCAGCTGGGTGACCTTGGGCCAATCACTCCCTTTCAGTCCTAGGAAGGAGGCCAGGGAAACCACTTCCCAAACCTTGCCAAGAAAACTGCAGGGTCCTTTCCAGGCAGTCGCCAGGAGTCAAGACTGACTCGAAGGCACAAAAACAACACAACACAACACAACACAACACAAAACAAACAAACCTACTAAGAGCCTCCACAAGGAATTCCCTATAACTCTTTAGGTGTGAAATCTAGTGATCCACAAATAAAGCTCCCACTCTCTCTTCAATTTCCCAAGATTGACTCAGCATTTTGGGGAACCCAGGATGCTTATTAAAGCAAATACCTTTGCAGGGAAGTCAGGCAGTTTATGTAACTGGAGAGACAATCGTTTGAAGAAAACCAATTGTAGGTCAAAATCTATGTTGAAACCCATGACTTTGTTCAAATCCCATTGTTCTTAAGACCCACCATTTCCCTTTTCAATGATGAGATAGCAGAATCAGAATCAAGTACCACAAACTTTTGTGGGAACTGGTCAGATTGCCTTCTTTTGCAACCTGGTCTATGTTTTGTGTAGGAAGAGATCACCCAGATAAGGGTACAGAAAGACCCTGATACACAACTGGAAAAATTCTATTACTTATCTGAAAATAATCTTGAGGATTCCAGGGTCTCTTGTCAAGTTGAGCAAGACAACTGTCAAAAGGCAGGGCCTTGATTGTCCAATTGGGGTAAAAAACACTATTCAGATTTGCCACCAGACTTTCACTTGTAAAAAGAGGAATATCTAGCAAAGGAGCATTTAGTGGCCTGCTTGCCTATGCCTTTCAAAGGAGAACAGTGAGTCAGACAGTGAGAGCTAGAACATTGGAAACGTAAATGGAAGCAGGTGGTCGAGCATGAAGAACTCTGTGACATTTCCCCTTTCTATGCTGTTGCCTTCATTTGTTGTATTTCGTTGGGTTTTAGCATCATCAAATGGAAAGTTTTCCAGTTCACTGAGGATCTCTTGCAATAGCCCAATCATGCTATCATACTCACTAAAAGCTGCTGCATGTTTTGCAGTATTGATCTGCAGCTGAGGCAGATGGTAAACTTCAAACACCCCCCCTCCCTTCAGGAGCTGAGTAAGAAACATGTCTTCTCCCAGAAAAATGTTGAACCCCCCCCCCCCCCGTATGTCTAATGGTTGCAATATGCCCAGTATTGGGCCAGCTGCTTCTTGATGGAGTTTGCCAAAGTGCATCTTATTCATTACATAGGATAATCCAGTTGTCTTTATTTGATGTATGTGTAACTCCAATAGCTACTCAGATAGTATTTAAGTAGAAGTTAATATTCTACTTTCTTATATTTTATATTATTTTAATCAGAAGGTGAAGCAGTTCCAAAAGCAGAAGCAGACTAATGTAAAGAAAAGATGATATTGTTTAAGCATCACAAATACACATTAGCTCCACCCAGATAAACTCCTTTCTGCCTGGTTTTTTAACAGACTGCCTGCCTGTTGCAACCTAAAATATAACAAAATTTTGCATGGCAGCATGTCAAGTGTTGCAACAGATAATGAGGGGATGG